AAGACTAAACCTTTGTGTAATGACTTAATGAACAAGATAATGCTAGAACACAATGGATTGGAATTAAATTATTGAGTAAGAATGGGATTAGAGGCCTGTAATCTAGCTTGGAACATGCTGACTTGAAAAAATGCAAAGTGTTATGAACATGAATTTGGCCATGAACAAAGTGACTTTTGCCTAACTTCACAAATTCGATTCTCCCTAACCACAAGGGTGTTTGATGAGTTCTTGGACAATTTGGAAAGCTTGGAATGTGTACTACAATCCATCTTAGTAATTCAAATTGAAATTCCAAGTGGAAGCATGTGAAAAGTGGCCATGAAGTTGGGCAAAAATCCTGCCTAAAATAGGTCAAAAAATTTCTAAGTTAAGAATGTTTTGCAACCCTATTCAAAAAATCATAACTTGAGCTACAAGCTTCTTTTGAGGAAACTTTGTGAATCAAAGTTGTAGATTTTGCAATGGACTACAACTTTCATGTTTTGAGTTTTGTTTGAATCCAAATGTAACTTGATGAAAATATGGGACAAAGTTAGGGAAAAATAAGGGAATTTCATAACTTAGAACAATTCTAAGTTATGAAATTTCTTCATTTCAAACCCTAATTTGTAATTTTTGATTTCTTGATGAACAAGTTTCATAATTTGACATGTCTTGATGAAAAATAAATCTTGGCACTTGATTTTGACCAAAAAGTCAAAGTTTGACTTTTCAGTATACAGTCAAATTTTGCTCAGTTGACTGGAAAATTCATCTGTCAATCTTGTGCATTTGGGATCTTTTGAACTTGTTGAATGTGTCAAGGCCATGTCATTGAAAATTTGAGTCCATATGTGAGCTTGGTTTTCAATTGGCTAGGTCAAACAGTCAAAAATTGCCTTTGTGCAGTCAAAACCCTAAAAATGACCATTTTGCCCTTTTGGTGATCTGATCAAATTTCTTGTGGAATTGTGATCCAAACTTGATCAAATGGTCCATATGAGTTCATAATGTTGATGTGGGTCAAAAATCATGAGGTTTGACTGTCAATTGACCACAGTTGACTTTTTCCCCAATACAGCTGATTTCTAGGTCAACTGTCCAATTGACTGGGCAAAGATTTGAATCGAGGCTTGAAACTTGGTATGGATAAACTTGTGAGTCCAACATGAAGCATGAAAGTCATCTTTGGCATTTTAGGTCAAAACATCTTTGTGCAAACTCAAACCCTAATTTGGGTCAACAGTGCAAGGAGAAGTTTTGAGCAGAGCAAACCCTAACTTGATCTTGAGCTCAAAGGGTCTTGTGGTGAGAAAATATTGATGAAATGGGAGGGCAAATTTTGGGGTACAACAGCGGTGGATATGGAAGCGGCGGCGCTTGAAGGTGGCTCGCAGTTAGGGTTTCAGAAATTGAAACTCTAACCGCTTTCCCTCAATCTTCAGCAGCAAACGATGGGTTCAAGCAAGCCTCGTTGTGGCCTCTCTGCGGTTCTGTCAAAAACCCACCCTTGTTCTTCTTTCCTGTTCAACGACCCTCATTCGTCCCTGTAAATCCCCCCTCCCTCTGTATTTCTTCATCTTAGTTTATATAGGTAGCTTTTTAGGGTTTTTCTTTTAGCGTTATAGATTTAGGAAGTTAGAATAAAATCAGGGTTTTAGATTTATGTTTATTGATTCCGAAATCTGCATATTTGATTTGATTTGTAATATTCTTCCATATTTTGATTAGATTTGATTTGTAAATCTTGGATTCGATACTGTAACCTACGTTTTTCTTGCACTCTTATTAATTTTGTAGATTCTTAATCTAAGATTATTTTGACTTTAATCTCAACAGTGTATGTTAACATAAGAACCATGCAACTTCTGCAAATTAGCACAGTTGTTAGTTTTAGATTTAAGACTTGATTCTAACAGTAAATGTTAATTGGCCGAAACATGCATTAATTTAGGGTAATTGATACAGTAGATGTTATCATCTTAATTTAGGCTTTGCGCTGCTACCTTTTTTTTGTTCAGCCCAACACTCTTTTTTTAAACACAGACCGGGCCCAATAGATTTGATATCAATCCAACTCTTTGCAAACATTACAAACTCTTAACATTCAATGAAATAATAAAATATTTTTTAAAAATGATAAATCTTTTAATACTTTATAAAAATAGTTTTTAAATAATCATGAATAGAAGAAGTTTAATGATAATGTTTTAAAATGAAAATGACAATCGTCCAATGGGCTAATTAAACTTAATGGGCATGTAATTTGAATTTCCACCACCTTCTCTTACAGCAGACCTCCATTTGGGCCTTATGTTAATAAATAGTTTATATATATAAAAAAATCAGTAATACAATGTTTTAATAATAATAATTTTTTTAAAATAAAACAGTAATAATATAAATTACCAAGAACCTTAATGGGCCTTTACTAACCATACTCCTCTCTTTGCTATCCACAGAAAATGGAGATGGGCCAAACAGATACTGAATTTTCACCTCCTTTCCAAAAACAAAACATTTAAGTTGGCTTAGTTAATGTCAACAACTATTTAATATTTAAGAACATAATGATTATTATTCTTTTGGAATAATTTTCTATTTTTGAATCGCATGGGTCATTGGCCAACATGCTTCACGGATAAGTCTATGAGTCGTTCTGATTCAGAAAGCGCCATTTTCCTGAATTAAAATACACCCCCTAGCCAGATAAAGATAGTCCATCAGATATTGTTGTACCATCTTTAATTAAAATGTTTTCTCGAAGAATAAAACCAACGAGGTAGGACAAATTTGGGGTACGACACATTTGCAACATAATTCTTAATTGGTAATGATAGTGAGTTATCAATTTATATACTTGAAATGACTTCATCGCATTATATTTTCATGTATTTCTCATAAAAACGTATGTGTATATAAGAATGTTTAGCTTCATTAAACATAAAGCATAACACATTTCATATTACATCATATTTGATTCTACTAACGTGCCACTTGTCAAAGAATTCTCTAAGCTTATGCAGGGAGTATTTAAAATGAATTTTATGGGGAGTTGAATTATTCTCCCAGACTCCAAATAAAGTAACTCAAGGAAGGAACACATGTGTGAGAAATTACCTTTGCGATCATATTGAAAAAGTGGATGTTGTGTTCGTGCATCTTGATACTGAAAATCAACTTGCCGATGGTGTCACAAAAATGTTTGCAACTAAACTGTCTTTCAACAAAAATATGGAATTGGGGATTATTAATGTCTCCAATGTTGTCTTCTTTATTATGATGCTTGCACTTTTATACTTTTGCTCTAACACGTTGTTTGAGTATTTACATTATGTGAGTGCAACTTCCATTCCATCAAGAGTGTGGTAATATTGTTCCAAATTTCTCCTTGAAAGTAAGATTTTCTTAGTACATGTTTAGTTGATGAAAAATGCTTGCTATGTGTTGCACCCCAAAATTTTATCTCCTAATTGTTCCTTTATTTGGGTTAGGTTTTTCACTCATCTACATATATCCCATTACATTACTAACATAGCATGTATTTTGATTTAATAAAATACCTAAGGTTTAAAGTTCAGTGGTTATGGTCATGCAATATTAGGGGTCCTATGGGCTCTGAAGATCTCGTTTTCTTCAAGGGTTATTCCATATCCAGTTTCATCAATGTCAGAGGTTAGGATTTACCTTGCGTATGATTATCATATGAGTTTCAGTGTGAGGGTTTAATTCATGATAATAGCCTATGAGCTTGAATATCCTTTGGTGATACATTGGTAGTTTAGGGGACAGGTTACAAGATATGGGTTGTGGGTTCGAAACATCATCATTCTTTCAAATATCAATTTCTAGTCACGCAAGTTAAGTTTGACTCAAACTTGGAGGGTTGAAATTAGAGGTTCATGGAGAATGCAAGATGATTCGGATTTGAAGTCGATTCAAGTGATTCCATAAATAAGAATATGTGTTCAAGTAATTCCATAAATGTGAATTTGTGTTCAAGTGATTCCATAAGTGCAGATTCGTGTTAAAGTTAATTGATTGGATCCATGTTCTTAAGCATAGGATTTGTCAAGATTTAATTCAAGCCTACTAAAAAGGGGAAGATGTACTTACAAGATTTTCTTTGGCACATCAGTTTCAAGATTTATAATTACCCAGCATTCAATATTCCAAAGGATCAATCTTGCAAAAATTCAGAAATAATAGATATGGAATTTTGAGTAATGGAAATGAAATGTTAATTGTTTTGTCATAGCTAATCATCAAATTCCATGAAGTTTATTCAATTCCAGACGTGCAAGATCATTCATGTTCATGGTGGTGTCATTTCAAGAACTTCTTGGTACAAGGCAATTGCAAAGAGCTGGTGCAAGATTGGTTGAGGAATAAATACATTCATGAGGATTCAAGAATGCAAGTTCAAATTTCATTACAAGCTTCAAGTACAGTCCATTACATCATGAAACACTACACAAAGGAAAGGTGTAAAGAGAAAAAAAACTATTACAAAACCTAATTCTAGTTTCTAAGTTGTTTAACTCCAAGAGTTACTTGAATCCAAGCTTTCCGCCATGTCCAAGGATATTTTAAAATATTGCATCAAAATGGGAGCAAACTTACTACTTCCCATTCAATTAACTGCGTGATGCCATGTTGCTGCCAAAATAAAAAATGCTACTGGTTATAGCCTGCATACATTATTCAAGAATCTAGCCCTACACATATTCGTAGCAGAAAAACTAAAGGGAGAAAATTGCAGTTAAAAAACCAGTTCAGCCTTACCCTAACTGCTTTTAACCAAAAATAAACATTAAGTCAGTAACCGTTTTTTAATCTCTAATTTCCTAACCATTTTTTCCGTAACATAATTTCTACATAACTAACCCAACTATCCTAATGAATACAGTAACTAACTTTCAAACCCCCTAACAAACTGAATCATAATTGTCCCTAACAGAAAATCAGGATCTAACAACTGAGATTTGTTCTCAAATAACAAACTCTCTAACAGAAAAATGGGAGAGCATATAACAGAATATAAACATAACTCACCATTTTTTATCAGATTCATGATCAAACTACAGAAGAATCACTATCGCAGAAAATCTCCATCTCCTCTCTTTCTCTCAACCTTCAGAACCATCTTCATCCTTGTCCCTCTTATCTCTGCAACAACTATTCAACCTCAACTCCGCTCTCTGATATGAGCATGGTATAATCGTAGACCTTCACTCTCTAATCAACAACCTACATCATTAACGCAAAGAAACTGCAGCTTCATCAACCTTCTGTAATCAACTCCAACCACGCGCTCCATTCTTCAATCATCATCACGTTCATACTTCATATCTTTAATCTTCATCGTCCTTGATTCATACTGCAAATCATATTGCAGCAAGCGCGGTATTCAGCAAGAACGAAGATGAATTGCAGCATCAAGATTCACTGAGAATCGCAACGGAAGATGCAAACAGAAGAAAAGGGTGAAGATAAAAGAGAGGACCAAAAATACTCGAGATTAACTTCATCTAAAGTACATTAATCTTCCTCTCTTTCGGTCATTCTTCATACGATTGTGTAGAGTGAGAAGAGAATGATCGAATCCCCATGGATTCAAATGTTGAAGCTCAGGGATGAGCATTTAATTTAATATATGAAGACTTAGGGTTCTATTTTATTCTTCCGATTTGGCCGTTCTCTGAACCTTTGAAAGAGAGTGGCGATGAATTTCAGGTTAGGGGATCATCTGAGACGGAGGTCCACATCTGAATGAAGGACGAGTTAAGGAGGACGACGGGGATGATAAGTTAATGGGTATCGGTGCTTCCGTGAAGAGAAATTCTTTATCACGTTTTTTGAAGATGAGACATCATAGTCTGAGGCCCTAATTCCCCTTATCATCTTATTTATATATGATTTTCTTAATTGTTTTTTTGTTTATATATATAATTCAATAGGTAATAAAGGTGATGAATAAAAAAAAGGAAAATATGATGATAGCGATTATTAGACTGGACCAAATATTCTCCTTAGGCCCGTTCGAATACACTCCCTGAGACTCAGCATCACCTCTTTTGGTGATTTGCTTTGCTTGTGAACAAAAATTGATGTTGGACTATTTCAAGTTTGGGCCTTAGCTCCTCATTTACTTCTACAACACCTCTTGCTTACAGATTGCACCCGCTGAGTTTATTTTTTTAGTATTTTCTTTTAAATAATTTTGATAATTGTTTAATTTTATTTGACTTTTTATTTACATGATAGAAATAATAAAATCAATAAGAACTTGTTATATTTTTTATTTTGATTTTAGGAAATTAAATTCTGATTATTCGATTACCCGAGACTTATGATTCACCTTTGCTTGTTGAGAACTGAAATCTTTTGCAGGATTATTGTGCGATATGCGGATGCGCTTAATATTTCGATTGTGATTTATTTTCACATTGATGATGTTTCGACGCTTATTCCGAGCATTTGATTTCTACCTCTTTTTGATTGGTGAAGCTTTCGCGAAGATTGTCGGGTTTCTTTATGTTGATACGCTCCCCTTGACTAAAGCATTTCACTTCTTTTCCTTACTATTTTATGTGTGTTCTCTTTCGAGCTTGCTTGTTTTGCCCTTGTACATACCATGTTCCCTTAGGATGTGCTTGTTCCTTTCGGATGCAAGTTAGGCCTTAGGTTGCAAACCATGCATGCTAACATTAGATAGACATTTCCCTTTTGTTAATCCAACATTAGGACTACCATTATATGATGACATTAGGTTAGAAATAGGCTAGTCCCTCGTAAACTCTTTTCCTTCCCTTTTGCATATGCATCTAAAACTAAAACTCTTTTTTCTAAGCAAATCAAAAACATGCTAATCACATTTAACCCCTTTTTTAATGTAACAAAATACTAACCAATCAAATGTGGCATCTTTCCTCGAGGGCGTAACTCGAAATTACTTTCAGTAAGGACATGATTAATTTACTTATGTGCTGACGTGTGATTATCCAAAGGTCGAGCTGCGGCAGAAGGCGAAATTAATATTGTTTAATAAAAAATACAAACCAAAAAACTTTTGAGCCGAACTACGGCTGCTTTGATTCCTTAAAAGGGATACGTAGGCATTGGGGTAGGGCCCGAACGAGCATAACTTTTATTTTCCCTACATTCTTTTCTCCTTTCATTTGCATGCATTCTCCCTTTAGCAGTAGTAAACAATAAGCATATTTTAAACACACCCATAAGATAGACAACAAGAGTGGATACTATAGAGTACTACGGGCGTGTGGGGTGCTAATACCTTCCCCTCGCGTAAAAGACTTCCTTACCCAATCTCTCAGTCGCAAGACCGTGACTTCTCCCTTCTGAGGTTTTCTCGATGCTTACCTTTCCCTTCCCGTGGGATAAAAAATATTCGGTGGCGACTTTATTGATTTCATTATCAGTTGATTGTTCAGCCGGTTATTTCACTATGTTCTAAAATGATGAAAACCATGAATGTTCATTTCCAAAAATTTTGATTGATAACCATTGCATGTTTTCAATGTATATGCTTATAATGACTTCATGTATTAATTCTTTCACATTTGCATAAGTTTGTTCTTGTATGTACAAGTATGTGTTTCTATTATTATTTCTTGCATTTGTACCTGAGTTAAATGTAAGCATGTTAATTGCATATACGTTTCTTGTTGTATTTAAGTCACATTTTAATGAGATATTTTCATTTTGGATTGATTAGTGACATGTTCTTGTCGCTATACTAGGCACATGTGGGTACAACACCGGGAGTTCCATTATATTGTGTGCGCAAATGTGATGCTATAGAAGCAACTTGACTAGCTTGTTCTTACATCATATTCATTATTATTCAGGCAATTGCATTACATGTTTGGTAATTTTTTATGCTTGTTATATATTTTTTGCGTCATTATATATATATGGGGATATGTAATTATGTGCTCTTCTTTGCAGAAGTGCCTTTGTGTGATATATTAGAATTGTTATTGGAATATGATACTTCTCATGATTTTCCTTCTTTCTTTTTGATGTTGTTAAAGGGGGATAAGAATATGCGAGATGAATATGGGAAGTAAAAATTCAGGGGGAGCCTTCGACAACTACATGAAATACATCATCGCAAGCTTTGCAATCATAAAAAATGAGGGGTTTGTGAGTGCAACTTCACCATCAGATATTTTGTATGATGTCAAAACTCGGAAAGCTAGAATTTCAGTATGGTGGACGGTATCCTTATGTCTTGTGGAACTCCTATGTATTATAGGTCTTAGGAATCATCAAAAAGTACTTTTAAATTAACCCAACACATTGAAAAACAGTTGTTGCATGTTTTTGCATTGCATGTGTCGACACATTCGATTTTCGGGTCAAAACATGTAACTCAGTTTTTAAGTTTGTAAGCTTATGTAAGTCACATGTCGACACATACAACCTTTAGGTCGAGACATACTGAAAGATTTCTGAAATTACAAAAATTCTTATTTTATGTGTCGACGCATCCATATTTCAGGTCGACACATTTACTCAGGTTTTAAAGCCTGTAGCTTATGACTTGTTAAGGTCGACACATAGAGTCCTTCGGGTCGGGACATGCATTATTTTTATAACGTATGTTTCGACTCGACACTTAAAATCTTTTTTGGTCAAATTTTCATTTTCTTTTATTCTGAATTTGTCCTTTTTGACCTAAATGTTTCCAACTATAAATATATCATTCATGCATCATTCCAACTTGATGATACCATAAAATTAGCCTACATTTCTTATTCTTCAACCTTTCGATCTATGCATACACACCAACATTACATTGTGATGATGTTCTCTTGGGGTGCCATCTAGACAAAGAATTATGGACTTCCAATTGGTTTGGGTTGAGATTTGTTGGGGTCTTCATCAAGGAAAATCATCGAGTTTCTCCTCCAAAATAATTTATTTAATTGGGGGTTTTCATTTAAGATCTTGCAAGAAGGAATCATCCATGTGAAAAATCCCTTGGAGTGTTTGAAATATTTTCAAGGAACCTTATAGTGTTTGAAATCTTTTTAAGGAAGTATCAAGAAATGGATGATATAATCGATGATCTTATGTTGATAGTGTGTAATCGAATTTACTCGAGTGAAAAATCCTTTAGAGTGTTTGAAATCTTTTCAATAAAGTAACTTAAGAGGAGAATAGGTTGCATCTATCAGTCTTAGTCTTGTTGAAGATCAAAAAAAGAGAATGGGTTGAATCCACATGAAACAGTTATGTTTTGTATAGTTGCTCTTAAACACTTCTCTTGTATTCATACTTTTTCAAAGTAAGAAAATATCTTAATTCCACATTGGAATTAGGTGCAGACGTACCCACATGCAAGGACGAAAGTGGGGAACTGTGTAGACAAATCCTTGTGTCTCTTTTCTTTTATCGCTTTTACTTGCTTTAATATTCATCAATAAATTTGTCAAATAACATTGCGTTATTAATTGAATTGTAATTAATTTTCCGAACTGTTTTTTATTTACATCAAGTGTTGATATTGCTTATAATCATTTTTCATTATAAGTTATTTTGTGCATCAACACAAGTTAAAGGAAAATTATGAAATTTCCCTTGCACATCAAGTGTTTGAAAAAAATTTAGCTTGTTCAACTCAAAGGAAAATTGTAATGTTCTATAAGTTACTCTCATTTACTCTTTATGTGCAATTTATTGAATGTGTTGTTTGATTGATCAATTCGTATAGAATATTTCTTTGATTGTTAAAGTTTAAATTGCTTTGTTGTTTAGCTTATAATCACTTTTATTGTAAGTGCTTTTTCATATAAACTAAGCTCAAAGAAAATTCTGAAAAATTGATTGCGCGCGACATGTTCGATAAAGTGTCGAGTTATGTTTTTAATATGACTTCATTGGAAATAGGAAATTGTTGTGTTGAATATTAAAAAGTTAATTGAAATATTATTATGTTGATTGATTTTATCATTATGCTAATTCCATATGGCTCATGCATATCTGATATTCCAATAACTAGCTTTGTTTAGACTACTAAATTGATCTAGGCCAAAAACCTTCCGCTAAACATTGGTTTTCAAATAAGTTTTAAATAACCATTTTGAAAGGTAGTTTTTTATTTGGGGATCTATTCACCCTCCTCTAGATCCGGTGTCATAGTCTAACAACCTAAATATCAAATATTACTTATGTTGATTGA